TGATCTCCTGAGCAAAGACGGATCCCTGTGCGTGGGAGAGGCGTGCGGCGCTGAGCCGGGGAAACGAAACCTCGCGAGGCTGTGTCCTCGGGGCCGCTCGTCCTTTGGGGCAGGATGGAAAAGGAGAGCAGTTACGGAGCCTGGCTCCTTGAAGCAGGAGAAGGTGAAACGCCCTGTTTGAAATTAACGCAGGCTGTGTTTTCCTAAAGGCATGCCCTCGTCTTGACGAGGGATTTCCCCGCGCTAACAGGCAGCCGGGCTGGTTCGGAGGCACCGTGAGCCACCCCTGAACCCCTGATGTAATAAGATCGCAAAACTAATGTTGTAGGTAAAGGCTCGGTTAATCGAGGTGCGCAGACAGCACTCTGATTTATGCAGGGGATGGGAGGAAACGGATCTGGCCCACGGAGCGGTCTTCACAGCAGCCTCTCCGTTTCTAGTCCATGTCCCCCGGTTTCCAGGTGCCCTTTCCCTCTGCAGGCACTGTGAATTCTTTACGCGGCCTCCGGCCCTGATGATGCTTGTGTTGAAGAGGGATGGATACCACAGCAGAGGGAGGGGGGGGCGAGGTTCGTTTTCCCAGTACGGATTTATGGGCGAAGAAGCCCAGCTTGGAAAAAAGCATGTTAAAGCGGTGGAGCGACTTTCCCAGGCAGGCCTGCCTCTGAGAGCTGAGGAGCAGGCAGGGAAAGGCAGGCGCCAGCCAGAGCGCCCGCTTTTCCCTCGAGGGTCCCTCGAGTGCCATCTTGGGTCAGGATATCTGCTCTGTCAGCTCAGCAGAGGGAAGGCGAACTGGTTTTCTTTGCCCCTCGGCTGGGCGAGTGCAGGGGCTGGCTGGGGAGCCACTGTCAAAGTTGGAGCTTTTTTTTTTTTTTTAATGTTATTTCATGAGGGTGGATGGAGGATGCGTTTGCCGGTGCACAGGGCCGCAAGGCCCTGCAGCTCTGTTAAGACAATGCAGTGAGGAGCGGGTGTGAACGGGGTGTTATCTCCACCCTCGTTCCCCTCTGTGCTCTCAGTAAACCAGCCCCGGAGAAATAATCAGGAGAAACTGCTGTGCGGAGAAATAGCTGCTCTGGGATGAGGTTTTTAGGGAAGCCTGGACGGCTGCTGCATCAGCGACCGGACCTCTGCTGCTCGTCACGTCCTAGCGGAGCGCTGCTTTAATACATTCAGGCTGCAAGGGCCAAAGCTTCCCGCTGCACCAGGCTCCAGCACGCCGAGCGCGGGAGCAGAAAGCTTCCGGCCCGGGGGAAAGCAGCTTGTTTCTTGCTGAAGGATGGCCTTGACTCCTCGCTAGCGTTTTTGGTAGAGACGGCATTGTCGTTGGCAGCTTCCTGTAAGTTGTCACCTGCGTGCGACTGGGGCTCTCCCACGAAGATGTCCCACCGTGGGCTTGCTGCCCAGGATCGTGGAGGGGAAAGACAGGGAGTGACTCCTCTGCGTGAGCTGGCTGCTGGCAAGTGTTAGATTTCTCTGGGACGCAACAAGCGTTAAAGATTTCTTGCAAGATCTGGCCCTTATCGTCGTGGAGCAGGCGTGGTGCTTTCCGCAGATGGAGTGGCCCCCGCACGAGAGGCGGTGGGCAGCCGGCGCCGGCACCGTGGACTGGCACCCAGTGTGAAGGCAGAGGCCAGAGGCTGTTCAGCCCAGCTGTTATTCAGACACTTTCTCCTTTTCCCTTTGCTTACTGTATTGCACTTCCCCCCCCCATTTGTTGCCACCCTTTGCTCTGTCTGAAAAGATGATTTTTGGCTGGGAGGAGTCCCTGGCTTCAAGGCGAGGGGTGACCCCCCGCCGGCAGGGCACCGCAGAACGACCCAGCAGCAGTTTGGGTTTATCTGATTTCCCAGCGGTTGTGAATGAGAAGCTCCTTTATCGTGCCTGCCCGGCCCTCCCGTCCGGGCCGATAAATGTCCTCCCTCCCCCACCCCCATAAGAGTACCCGGCCCAGGAGCCGCACGCGCCCTGCGGCCACGTGCGTGGCAGCGAGCAAAATGCCGTCGAGGCGGCTAAAACAGTGGAGAGCAGCTGGATAAAGCCCGGGAGCTGCCTGGCAGCCGGGGAAAAACCTGCTGCCTTTTTGGGCTGGAGCGGGACAGAGGTTCGTATCCATCTAAGAGCTGTCCAGTATCAGACCCTCGTCATCTCCCTCGGGACTGGCTGAAATGTGCCCACTGGAAATTTTTTGCCTTAAATCGCCCCACAGTCGATGGTAGAATAGATGTCCCTGTGCCGGGAGCTCTCGTGGTGTGGTCCCGAGTCAGTAATGGCACCAAATCGCTCCTTGCTCCCAAAGCGAACTGGGACACCAACAGCCCTGAGAGTTGTGGCTGAGGAGCTGTTTATCATTTTGCATTTTGAAAGGATTTTTTTTGTTTTTTCCTACTTAGCGGCTATTTCTGGATTTTTCAGATGTATAACGGAGAGTCCCGAGTGGCTGCGTGAGGGGTCAAGCACACGGTGTTAAAGCAACTCTTTTTCTCTCCCTCCTTTCCCCCAAATTAATGCTGTAGAAAAATGCAAAGCTCTTAATCTGCTTTACGTGTGATTTGAAAATAATGGCAGCGCTTCAGTACAGGGCTCAGAGGAAACGCTTCGGGGTGAGAGCAGTTGGTGGGAAGTGTGATATTCATGCAAAAGAGCATCCAGGACGTGTGCAGAGATGGGGACACATCTTTATAGGGCTGGTACCGTATTGGACACCTTCTCTCTGATGTGAAGTAAGAGTGCCTGGGAAGAGCTGGCTTCTCAAATATCTGCTCGGGATCGATTTTTTTCCTTTTGTGGGTCTATGATGTTGTGGGATTTAATCTTCCAATATCTACACAGGAAATATATAAGAGGAAGATTATCCTCTGAATCTTCCTCTCAGTTTCTGAGAGGTGGCAGACCTCCAGGTAGCTGATCCAGGCTCAGTGACTCCTTCTACAGTGGATTTAAAATATTTGACTTAAAAACATTCTCTCTCTTAAGCTCTGACATGCATACAATGGCACATTTCAAGGTTGCAGTTCTTGTACAGGATTAGCATACAAGCTGTTCTCTACTGAAAAATGGAAAGTTCGTCAACTTTCTGCAATTCACGCCTTCTTTCTCAAGATCACTTTTAAAAAATATTTCTGCAATTAGTTGCATTTTACGTATTGGGTGACTTGCCGAGAGGTCTATAATTGCCCAGTAGCCCAACTAGCACAGCGGGCAGCTGAGCTCCTGTGGCTGATCCCTCTGGCAGGGCCCTGCAACAGCACCAGCCCTGCTGAGCTTCCCTGGCAGATGCTTTGGGGCCAAACCTCTGTTATTTTGGTGTCAAAGATGCTCCTGCGTTAAAATGGCTGTGGAAAGCCCCAAGAGAGTGGCAACCTGAACTGAAAATCAGCGCTCAAAGCTGCTTTCTGGCCTACTTTATGCAGGTATAAACAAGGCTGTCCCGGGGTGGAAGAGTGGAAAATGTGCTTTGGTTGTCTGATGGGCTGCTAACTGTAAAATAGACAATCTCATTTCCTGGGGTGCTCTGCCGACACAGAAGAAAATAACAGAAGTGTTATTTTTTGGGCTGGCAGGCAAAACTGCCGGCACTCCAAGTCCCCCCTGCCTGATAGTACGCAGCAGATAAGGCAGCACCGCTGAGATCCCCCTGCAGATACGTGCTGCTGTGCCTGCAGCCTGCCTCGAGAAAGCTCTACCCCTTCTCCCTGCCCCTCGCTGAGCCCCACCTCCTACTGCCAGCAAGGGCTGAGGGAGGAGATGTCAGCGTTCGGTGGTAATTACTTGCATTTTGGGAATGGTGTGTGTGGTGGGAATTGCTCTCGCTGCACCGCGCAGGGGCACTGCTGTCGGTGCCCCAGGGTTTTCAGCGTCAAGGTGGAAAAAGCAATGAATGACTGTGAACTGCAGAAGCAGGCCGAGGGCTCTGTGTGTGTGTGTGTGTGTGTGGTTATTTGCTAACGGTGGAAACGTGGAAGAGCTCTGTGTGCCGCTCCATCCCACACGGCTTGCCCGTGACCGGTGGAAAATCAGTGGTGTTGCTGCAGGAGCAATTTCTGTGAGATGAAGCGAGCTGAGGCCTATCAACTCTCAGCACACGTTTGCTTGGTTTCCTATTGATGTTGAGCACGACTTAAAAAAAAAAAAAAAGAAGAAGAGTTCACACTAAAAATAGGAAGTAGAAAATGGGCTGGTAAGAGCAACTGAGTAACTGCTGAATGTGGTCAGCTGCTGAGGTGTGAATTGTTTCTTTGCTCTTAAACACGGGCCCCAAATGGGGAGCGAAGGCAACTGGTTCCCAGGAGCACCAGACATCCCTCCTCCGGGCAATGGGCAGGAAGAAAGGGGGCACCGGAGCAGGGAAGGACATCTCCCCCAACAGCATAATTTTACGGAAAAGCAAGGGGCAAACCGCCTTTAAAAGAGAGGGGGGAAGGTGTGCTTGTAGCCCTGTAGACAGTGATAAAAGGGGGCTCTTCCCCAAAATATGGAGTCACTGGTTTGTGGGAAAATGACTGCATACTGTAGCATGGTTGGTTGGAGTCCATTATTTTTCCTGCTCTGGCAAAACATATTTGGAGGTTCATAACAAATTGCATTGAATGCTGAAGAGCAACTCCCAGACCCAACAGCAAATCACAGTCCCGTGAGCAGCAGCTCCTGCAGAGGTTTTCTCTGTTGCTGGCAGGGTGGTCGCGGTGTGTAGGTGACTCTGGAAAGACACCGCTCAGCCCCGAATCACAGTCTGGAGTCTTGGCGGACTTTCCAGAGCATAAAAATAGATGAGTGAACCCACAGTATCAGCCGCGGCATCCTCTGGGGTGCTGGCAGCGCGTTAGGCCCACACGTTGTTGTCCTGATTAATTCAGTAACTAATGGTATGACTGAACAAACAAACAAAACAAAAGGATAACTTTGTTGTATGTAATTTAATCTTAAATAAACTCAAGCCTGGCTGGTTTAAGCTAAACTAAGAGGTGAACAAAAGGTATAAACTAACTTAAATATATCTACATAGCAGCTTTGAGGGGCTTAACTGCAGTGCCAGTTTTGTATGTTGAAAAATTGTTTCTAGATCTGGCACTGTTTGGGCAAACTACAGTTCATTCAGGAAAACAAACTCAACGGCAGGCAAAACCATTGGGTGAAAATACGCGATGCCACTGCACTGAGCTGTGTCAGCTCTCAGGCCACTGCAGCTGCCCGCATCTTCTAGGGCTTCGTGTTGAGCGTCGAGCAGAAGAGAGGTGGGCATTGCCTGCACCCATGGATGTTTTAGACCTCCTGTTCTAGCTGCGGCCCCTGTTAACGCGTTGACCCTCAGTGCCACCCCGTCAGGCAAATGCTGGGGGCTGACGTGCAGCTCCGAGAGGGATCCGAGCGCCCAGGAGAATGGCCGGCCAAAAGGGAAGGCCAAAAACACACATGGCAGGGCTGGCTGCCTGGCTGGGCAGGGGAAGAGTTCCTCTCTCTCAGCTGTTTTTCTCACTTTCCCTTTATCGGTGTGAGTGATACTGATGCTGCCAGGGTGCCCCCAGATGCTCCCCGGGGGCTGGCGCAGCTGGCTGGATGGTGGGACCTGAACTGAAGCTTTTTGTCTCCAGGGGCAAGAGCGACCACGGAGGAGCCCCTGCTTCGGGGCTGGCTCATGCGAGCTGCGGGGGGAGCGGGCAGGCTTGGACCCTGGGCGTCCCCCTGCTCAGCCTGCCCGCTCTGGCCGAGCGTCACCTTCTTCCTTGGGCAACATTTGAGATGAAGGCGCTGGGGATTTTTCTGTAGATGGGCGAGGGCTTGAGTCAAGCAGGAAGCTGTGACGCAGGTTATGGGCTGGGTCTGAGGTTTTGGAAACCTTTTCTATGCGCCGCGCTCCTGGCCCCACTGTATATCTTGCGTGTGAAGCCGCGGCGAAGGCTGGCAATGCAGGCCAAGATGCAGCTCCTGATCGGGTGCAACGGGAGGATTTTCGTGGCTCTCTGTATAATCCTCTTTGTGGGATACACGGCGCAAGGTAAAACTGGGAGTGGTGGTTCTCTCTGTAATCCTCTTTCTGAGCTATGCGGTGTAGGCCAAGGGAGCAAGCCCAGAATTTCAGGAAAAATACTGGAGATTGACCTTCTTGTAGCAATAACAAAATCTGGTTATAAAACAAAAACTGTTCTGCTAACGTTTTGTGAGGGGGATTATAAGAAAAGACGTCTTTTGCGAGTGGACCATTTCTATGTCCCTCACCCAGCCTCTATGGGTAAAAGGCTTCATAAAATAAGTACTGAAATTAGTTCAATATCTATTTTTTAACTAGCTATTTCACAGCAGCTCATTTATTAACTCATTTATTCAGTTATCTAGTTATGGGCAGAGTGTGTAACAGTTCCCATGTTATAACTATTTTTATTTTTGGGGGGAGGAAATTAATGAGGAAATTAAATGTTTGATTCTGTACAGCAAAAAATTGCAACACACAGCGCTAAACTAACCAAAAGGAAATGTTGATTCACGATGACATGTACTCTGTGGATTTGTTTCTTGCAAGCGATAGCTACTTTTCAAGCACGTATAGTATAATTTTTTTCCCCAAACAAGGCTATGATGGTGATAGGTATCTACCACTGTTTCTGCTCTAACGCTCATCTTTGAGAGATGATGGCCCACTTTTTGCATGTCATTTATTTGCAAATTATTCAGCTGCACTGTTTTTTTTTGCAACTTTTATGGAAAAAAATCCTCTTACTAATATGCTAACAGAGGAAAATAAATATGAAAAAGGGAATACGTTATAAAAGGTGCATGAAATGATGCCTGTGAGATAGTCTGTCTCTTACAGAAGAGTGTGGGAGGTGGCTGAAAGTCATCTTGTACGTTGTAGTAATATATACGGCGGGAGAGAACTGTAATTACAGAAAGATATTCCCAAGGAACTGAGAAAAATTAAATAAAGTGCCAAAAGGCGGGGAACGTGCCAGGAGGCTTCAGAACACATTAATTAAGCGAGACCAAACGGAAGGATGAAACACTATTGTTTTTATCCTTATTTTGTGATCATTATTTTCTCCTTTCAATACTTTCTGAAAACTCCCTTCTCAGCAATAGTCCCAATCATGCATCCGGGTCGGGGGTGGGGGGGGACACCCAGAAATGAAACCGTCAGCTTACTTAATTCTGAAGAAGCATCTGGCTAATGTCTGAATCACTTATTTTCCCCAGACTTGCTTCAGAAATACCCTGCTTGACATGCCTACTTGATCCCCAAATCCACCTGTTGGGCGCCTTGAGTTTTGGGTTCTTTGGCCGAAGCTCATCCCGTTGAGCGTGTGGGACCGGAGGGGGCCAGGTGTTCATTCGTTTTTCCGCAGCTGAGCAATTACAGTCACGCAAATTACTTTGCTCCTGTGAAGCTTAACGGGTGCTCCCCAAGTTAGCAGGTCGCGGTGGTGGCTTGGGTCCGCGTGAATAACGTCTCACCTCTTTGTGCAGGTGCGCCGCTGCAGAAGGCAAGCTACAAGCGGGTGAGGTGCAGGCCGGACACCTGGTCGGCCAACTGCATTGAGGAGAAAGGGCCTTGGTTTTATATCCCTGAAGGTGGAGCCAACCGCATCCTGCCTCCCATGGCTGATCCCTCTCTGTAAGTTCCTGCGTTGTACCTTCGCAAGTCATGCTGACACCAAAAAATTGTCGGTATTCCTATCTCAAGTGGTCGGGCAAGAAGTATGTGAGAGGAGAGGTGAAGTTTGAGGAAAAAATCCCACTGCTTGGTGAGCAGGTGAAAGTCACCATGCCCTGGGCAATTTAGCTAGGGCATTTATCAGTGTCATGAATTTTCATGAGTTCAAAGCTAATGGAAGAAAGATCTACCAAAGACCATCGATACAGTGGTATCACTTCTGGCCGAGAAAATCTTTATGGCACACATTATCAGACTGGTAGGGTATTTTGGAGAAGTGTCAATATATGCTTGGTCTAATCCTACACTTTTTGACTCCTTTTTGAGAATACTGGATGAGGAGGGCGTTCGTCCCGTTGAGTGGAGACGCCCTCACGCGCCCACCTCTGAAAGCTGGGATGAGAGCAGTGATATCTTTAGGCTTGATTCAGCCAGGGAAACTGTTGTCACTAGTGGGATGGAGCTAAAATACCTTTTGAGAGGCTTCAGGGTAATTCATTTTAAAAAATAATGTACATATAGGAGTGTGACAGTGGTGTTACTGGGGGGTCACGGTCACGCGTTGTAGCTCAAGCCCTTCTTCAGCAGGCGGAGTTGGGCTCTTCTCCGTGAGCAGGTGGGAAT